CATAGCCCCGGTTAGGGATTTCGTGTACCCACTGGTCAGCAAACCTTTCATTTTGACGGCGATATACCTGCACTCGGCCATAATAGCGACCAAGGACAATCTAGACTCACCCATGAAAAGGACCTGAGACGAATAACCGTCTGTGTAGATAGATCTACAACGGCCATCTCATCAGAAAGACCGAAATACTCGATAAAAAAATGTTCTCCCCACTCGGGAATCGAACTCGGGCCTCTTGCGTGCGACAGCAAAGCGCTTTACTGCTAAACCACAGATATCGGTACTGAGATATTTGAAAGGAATAAATTTCCTCACTCGGGAGTCTAAGTCAGGTCTTCAGCGTACAACGACGAGGAGCTTAATCGTTCCACCTCAGACGCCGGTTTTCCCTGCCTTTCATCTCGTCTGCCACTGCCCCGTTTCCCTGAAAGATTAACTGGGTTGCAAAACTGCAATTATTTCCCTTGGCACTTTCATGACCTTCCAACAATGTCTTCTGGAGACTTAAATCGACAACTCGCTCCTCTCGTCACGAAACTGCGTCACCTTCCATTTGCGCTGGGCGCGTGCTTGCGACGTAAAAAACGCGCGTACGTGAGCGAAGAGCGCCCATCTTTGTACTCTGGGAACACAGGGAAATAAATAAATAAATCTACGAAGCCGCATGATTCGGGAGCAGTGTAGAAATTTGAACCTTCCCTCCGAAAAGGACGTGCAAGAAAATTGTGATGAGTGTTGTAATTATCAAGATCGCACTGAGCTCACGGGCAGGAAACCTCCGCGAGTGTCTGCCCATTGGCTTCTTCGTGTTGTTGCTGGGTCTTTGCAGGCGCGTGCATTAGCTCACGCGCGGACTTTGCTCACTCGCCCGGGGGCACCGGATGGGTGGTTGGCGGGTGATCTTGTGTAGTTTGCTGCTCCTCTTTTCCTATCAAGCATGTATCGTCTTTATCTCTCCTCCTTTGTGGATGGTTGGTGGGTGCATGGGTGTGGTTTGTTCTTTCTTTCCCTATCAGGCATTTATCGTCTTTATCTCTCCTTCTTTTTCGTGTTTGATACTGTCTTGTAACACCTCTACTCGTCGGCACTTATATGATCTAATTGTTTTGCAAATGCCGTAAAACCTTAACTTAAAACAAAACCTACTCCAGGGGTGAGCGCTCTCAGAGCAACAGGTCATGTGATCGTCTCATGGGGTGAGGAGAAGGCGCGGGGGAGGGGGTTTTGATGGTGTAGAGGAAGTTGAGGCCGGCTGTGAATATGGGTT